ATACCCTGCCACAGGCTCTGTGTGTCTCTGCTGTCACCAAAGTGAGCTGTAATCTTCCGGGTGAACTGTCGTCTGGCTTTCCGGATGCCACGGGATAGGTCGGCCCTTGCTGCTCTGAGACCAGCTGGATTGCCCTCTCTGAAGGCAGCGGGCCCTCAGCAGCCTGTGGACCTCTCCTGTCATCCATGGCTTCTGGTTGGCCCTGATAGTGATGGATCTGGTGTGAGTCACCTCCTCAATGCATTTAGTGATGTAGCCTGTAACAGTTTCTGTAAATTCCTGGATGTTGGTGGTGTTGTATGTGGCTGCGTGCTGAAACATGTCCCAGTCTGTAGTTTCAAAGCAGTCTTGTAGTGCAGCTGTGCTGTCCTCTGACCACACGCATATCTCCTTGGAAACCGGTTTGGTGACTTTCACTCTGGGTCTGTATGCAGGTTTTAGCATGACAGTGAGGTGATCAGAGTGTCCGATGTGGGGGAGGGGGGAAGCCTTGTAAGCTCCCTTGATGGTGGTATAAACAAGACCCAGAGTATTATTTCCTCTTTTTTCAGGTTTGTATGATTTAAAGTCCCCAGTGACAATGAGAAGGCTGTGTTGTCTGCTGGTTAGAGATCACTCGATACAGCTCACCGAGTGCCTCCTCTCTCTCCTTGTTGTTAGAGGTGGGGGGGGATGTATGCTGCGACCGGCAAGATGGAGTTAATCTCCCTAGGAAGGTGGAAAGGCCTGCACTTCACGAACATAAACTCCGCCAGCGGTGAACAGTGTTTGTAGAGAATCACAGCGTCCCTACACCAAGCATCACTGATGTAAACAATCACACCGCCGCCGCTCTTCCCCCCGCTAGCCGTAGCTCTGTCTGAGCGGTAGCATGTTAGCCATTCGAGCTGAATGGCAGAGACTGGGATGTTGTCATTTAGCCATGACTCCGTAAAAACGTACACACAGCACTCTCTCACCTCACTCTGGGTTGACCGGAGTATGTTCATTTTATTGTCCAGTGAGGGAACATTAGCCATGAGAATGCTCGGAATAGCGGGCCTGTGTGGACTAGCTGCTAGCCTAGCTCGGATGCCTCCGCGCCTACCCATCTTCTGCTTCCTCTCGCACCGTTTGCGGCGTCTCCTATTCAGCATGTAGGTAGCAGGCGAGGGCGAGGTTGAACTTATTCCAAAGCCCTTGAGTACCTCTGCCAGCGTAGAGTCTATTGTTTGTTTTGTTGATATTTCCTTGTCCAGCAGGAACTCACGACTGTACTGTATACTCCTGACTATACTATCGGTTCGGGTGGTTTGAAGTGAACGAGACAAACCAGATGAACAAACGTTAAAAACACTCCAAAACACTAAAGACTCGGGAGAGCTAGGGGCCGCTGCTGCTGTCTGCGCCGCCATCTTTTCATATTAGGCATTTTAATGCCTCCATAAACAATTTAAGCATTCGAGACTGAGGACTATGTACAACAACTTTAAAACAATGGCACTAGCAATACTGTGGTGAGACAACGTGCATGTTTTTTTGACAGTTTATTCGTAGAGGAATTTTGCTCTTCTCTCCTTCTGGGTGGCAAACCTCTGAAAGACTCTTTTTTGCTGTCTCAGCCATCTGACGCTCTATTTGACACCATTTTCATATTTCTGGAGTAATTATACAGTTTTTGATTAGAAGGGGTTGGACCCCCTTTTTGCCTTCAGAACTGCCTTAATTCTTTGTGGCATAGACTCAACAAGGTGCTGGAAACACTCCTCAGAGATTTTGGCAGGTCTGTCGGCTGATTCCAATCTCTCTTTCCACCACATCCCAAAGGGGCTCTATAGGATTTAGATCAGGTGACTGTGGCCATTGGAGAACAGTGAACTCATTGCCATGTTCAAGAAACCAGTTGGAGATTATTAGAGCTTTGTGACATGGGGCGTTATCCTGCTGGAAGTAGCATCAGAAGATGGGTACACTGTGGTCATAAAGGGATGGACATGGTCAGAAACAACACTCAGGTAGGCTGTGGCGTTTAGACGATGATCAATTGGTAGTAAGCGGCCCAAAGTATGCCAAGAAAATATCCCCCCCACCGTTACACCACCACCACCAGCCTGAACCGTTGATACAAGGCAGGATGGATCCATGCACTCATGTCTTCTGACCCTACCGCCTGAATGTCGCAGCAGAAATGGTCTTGTGCAAACCTTGGTTGTAAGAAGTGGTTATCTAAAAATTCAGCAATTTAGAAAAAAGTCAGGATTTGGACAAATAAGTTATGAGATTTGCGGAAAAAAGTCTAAATGTTGATGTTTTTTGGAAAAAGGGAAGATTTTGAGAAAAAAAGTCAGGAAAATAATGGATTTATTTTATTTGAATGAAAAGTCAAAATTCGTAGGTTTTCTGAAAAGGCCAGATTGTAGAGATTTATGAAAAATTCAGCATTTTAGAAAAAGTCAGCATTTGGGGAAAAAGTCAGGATTTTGAGAAAATTATTCAGAATTGTGTGGTTTAAAAAAATAAGTCAAAATTCTGAGGTTATCTGAAAAGTCAGAATATTGAGATTTTCTGAAAAATTCAGCATTTTAGAAAAAGGTCAGACTTTGGAGAAAAACGTAATTATTCTGAGTTTTCCAGAAAAAAGTCAGGATTCTGAGAAACAAAGTCAGAATGTTGCTGACTTTGCAGCATTTTAGAAAAAGTCAACATTTTGGGAAAAAGTCAGAATTTGGAGAATTATTATTGTAGAGATTCTATGTATTGTCGAGAGGAAGGGGAGGCACACGAGACCCAACGATGCAGACGAGCTGAAGGCCGCTAGTGAAGCAACCTGGGCTTCATCACACTTCAGCAGTGCCACAGACTGATAGTCTCCATGCCACGCCGCATTGATGCAGTTATTCATGCTAAAGGAGTCCAACCAAGTACTGACAGCAGGAACATTAACATACTTTTCAGAAGGCCAGCATTTCTATATTATTAAAAAATCAGTTTTTGCATTGGTCTTATGTTATATTCACATTTTCTGAGATGCTGAATTTTGGCTTTCATTAGCTGTAAACCGCAATCATCAAGATTAAAACGCTGGAAATAATCCCTTTGTATCTGATGAATCTATGTGATGTATGAGTTTAAACTTTATAAATTGAATTACTGATATAAACTCACTTTTCCATGATATCCAATTTATTGAGATGCACCTGTATGAGTCCAAGTACAGGTTTAGCAAGGCGGTGAGAGATGCTAAACGACTACTCTGAGAAACTCCAACACCAGTTCTCAGCTAACGATTCTGCAGACAGGTCACAAACTGTAAGGCTAAGCCCTCACACTCCGTGAACGGCCGACGCCTTGCTAAGCGTCAGTGAAACTACGTTTTAGATCAGCTACCGTACTAACTCACCTGTTGTCCTGAAACTCTCCAGGGCATCTGGAAAAGCATTTAAAATATGGATTGGATAAGGGCTGCAAAGTTAAAGAAGTGTTACTCGTGGTAAGATTTTAAATTCTAGTACTCTACAGTTTCTCTGAATATGTGTTTCCTGTTTCCTGCAGACGTCCAGCAGCTGGTGGTGGTTAAAGAAGAGGTTCCCCCTGAGCAGCAGAAGTGGAGCTCCAGTCTGGACCAGGAGGACCCAGAGACCCCCCCACACATTAAAGAGGAACAGGAGGAACTCTGGAGCAGTCAGGAGGGAGAGCAGCTTCAAGGGCTGGAGGAGGCTGATAACAACAAGTCCACATTCACTTCTGTCCCTGTGAAGAGTGAAGATGATGAAGAGAAACCTCAGTCCTCTCAGCTTCATCAAAGACAAACTGAACACCTGGAAACAGAAGCTGATGGAGAGGACTGTGGAGGACCAGAACCAGCCAGGAACTCAGATCCAGAGAGACATTTACAACCAGAGACTGAGGACAACCCTGGAGACTCTTCTGAACCTGACACTGAAGACAGGGCTGATTGGAAGAAGACCAGAGAACCAGGTTCAAACTCTCAGAGAAATAAACAAGACCCTGTCAGTGATTCAACACGTAGTGCAGGAGAGAAAAAATGTGGCTGCTCTTTGTGTGAGAAAACGTTTACACACAGAGGAAATTTAAATCGGCACATGAGAATCCACACAGGAGAGAAAACATTTGGCTGCTCAATTTGTGAGAAATCTTTTGCACAGAGAGGAGATTTAAAGAAACACATGAGAATCCACATAGGAGAGAAACCATTCATCTGCTCAATTTGTGAGAAATCTTTTGCACAGAGAGGAGATTTAAAGAAACACATGAGAGTCCACACAGGAGAGAAACCATTCAGCTGCTCAATTTGTAAGAGATGTTTTGCAGGGATTGGAGATTTAAAGAAACACATGAGAATCCACACAGGAGAGAAACCATACAGCTGCAGTGTTTGTGACAAAAGATTCAACCGGAGTCATCATATCAAATACCATAAGTGTGTTGGTCGTCAGTCCTCACAGCTTCATCAAACTCAAACTGAGGAGAACAGAGAGGCAGAGCCTCCAGCCAGCAGCTCAGCTGAACACATGGAAACAGAAGCTGATGGAGAGGACTGTGGAGGACCAGAACCAGCCAGGAACTCAGATCTAGAGTGTTAGAGCCATTTTCCTTTTGTTATTATTGTCTGAATGTTACGCTTAATAATAATATAAATTAGATTAAACTCTCACTTATCAGGTATTGTTGTGAGTCACACTATGGTTTAAAATGTATTAATTTAAGGCTCACTTATTTGTTATGATATGTGCGTCAGTCTCACGTGCATGGGTATATGCCTATATATGGTAGGTTGATGGACACAGCTGATGGTGATGAGACGGGGAAGGGGAAAAGTCTTTTGACCGTGTTCTTTATGTTCTTTTTGAGACGGATAACTTTATTTTACCATGAAGCGAAGAAATGTGCTCCTGTTTGTATGTCGTCTGGACCATTGAATAAAGCTCATCTAATTCAACAACGATCTAAGTGTAATACGTCTTACCTTTGCTGTTTTCTGATCAAAAGTTCTGTTCAATGGCATTACAACTTAGATAAACGGTGCTGAAGGTTAATCCAATGTCTCTGTGTCCCTTTGAAATGATTACTGATAATCCATCATCATATTTATGGCAATGAGCCGTTTTCAGTTTTCAGAGTGTAACATAGCTTTCGGTTTAGGCATGCTGGTTGCGCATCACTCTCACTTATCAATGGTAACGTGTAGGTGGATTTAGGAACCCCCCCTCGATTCTATTGGCTCTAACGGTTCAAAAGAGGTGTCATTCACCAAAATCGACCACTGGGTTCCAGAGATATGGCAAATTCACCCAAATGACCCCAGAAGTGGTTTTCTTTTCCTAAACCTCTCTAAAAAGGTCAAATGTCACTTGATTAGCATCAATCTTGATACAGGGTACTTATTATATGTTATAGTTTGGATTCCTAAAGCTTTTAGTCTCCGATCCCATCATTCAAGGGTGGTTTTCACTATAAGTAATGTTTTTTTGTTCAATCTGAATTTTCTTTAAAATAAAAACATCTATATTGATTCTCACTTTTCTACATCCAACTCACAGGTTTATCATTGCTTTGAGAAAAAAAGATTATTGATTTACCTTTTAGAAGTGAAGATATAGTAATTTGTTCTGGGCATGTCATTTTCGAGCCTGAGAAATAAAAAACACTGAAAAAAAATAAAACTGCATAAAAACGTATAATATTTAAAACAGATGATAATAAAAGTTTAAACAATAAAACTAAATATATAACAAATATATTAAAACGTTAGAACCTAATGTAAAAAAGACTAAAATTAGACATATAAACATCACACATAAATAATAAACATAAATATATAAAATATATATAAACAATACAATTAAACATAGAGAAATACAAAATGATATATAAAGACTATCCATACACACTCCCAAATACATTTATAAATATGGCTATAGACAGAAAAACAAATATATGTGATCAATACATAAACACTGAAAATACATTTTAAATTTGAATAATAAAACTAATTAAAACTGCGGTCACAGTCGTGCGCAGTTGTGGACGGGCCCTCGCGTCTTTGCGCCTGTCTGGGAGGGTCGCCGGTCGTCTCGAGTCCTCTGAAATGAGCTGTTTGTCATTTCTCAAATGTTCGCGTCCTCGACTCCTCGATCCTCAGGTAGTGACCCGGAAATGGATGTCAGCGCGCCGTCTCGAAGGAAAACACATTTTTCTTAAGGCTCATCGAGGATCGATTATCGAGGAGGTAGTCTGTTGGAGCCGTAACCGAGGATACACTGATTTAGAGGAGAGAGGAGAGAGGTCTCTCTGGAGGAGCTATAACCGAGGGTACACTGATGTAGAGGAGAGGGGAGTCTCTCTGGAGGAGCTATAACCGAGGGTAACTGTTATGTCATTTGTGTGCAGATATTTCTTCCTCCTCCTGTGTCTGTGTGGCTGTGTGTGAGTAAGCCTGCGAATACCAGCCCAGGGCGAGTAGGACAGATGTGCTAAATGTTCATTCAGGTTGGACAATATCGCTGAATTACCGAGGCGCGCACAGGACACAGAGGCGCGCCTGTCGCTCAGCCCGTCATCACTGGGGCTGTAAGGTGGCTGAGTGACAGACACAGAGGCAATAGGCGTTACTATCGGAGATTGAGCGGCGACACTTTTACGATCAACATACATTTTAAGCATGTGTATGTGACACACACAAGTTTTTTCTACGATCCGGAGTGCGGATCATATAATCCGTTCCACTGAGTTTACGGCCCACCTCATACGGGCCGGAAAACTTTGCTTGCAGGGCCAAACCAACAACGGGCAGCAGAACTAATACTCGGCCACCGGTTTGGAATTCCCGAGCAACTGACTTTTTGTCGTACCGGGCTTTCATTTTAGACTGGACGGTCCGGAGCGACTCACGGGCCAAATCACAGGCATGATGTAGCCTTTCTGTGAATGAACTAATACCTGTATGCTTTAGTAGATATCTACAAATAAACAGTAGATATTTTTCATGAAACCATATATTGCTTCACATAATAAAATATACAAGGGCTGTAGCCTTGTCGTGGCCCATTCTTGTGGGTTATCTAAAACTGTGCCACGTCAACAGGGATCCGCTTCTTGACTCACACGTTAAAAACCATCCAAATAAAGCTCTGGAGGCGCTGATTTCTTTGCCTTCTTTGGCCGATTTATTTGCTTCCATATATTTAAACAAACAAAATAAACAAAATGATCAGTGTAACGTGAGCTCAAAGACTGTTCCGATTCCCCGTTCATTGCTGGAGACGATTTCCACCTCACGCTCAGTCCCACCCCTTCCTTATATAACAGGTGTGGCTCACAGTAAATCAAAGTTTTCCTCCGAATATTTAATTCGGTACTAATACATAAATGGAAAGAATATATTAAGATCTAAATTAATAAGAAAATAATACACTCATTGTCAACACAGAAAATGGCTCTAACATTCCAGCCCCTAATTGCATAGAATATAGCAATTACAACAAATAATAAATAGAGCCAATATTCAAAACAAATATTCATTTTCTTCTTGTCAGAGTTCATAGATGAAATTCATCTTGAGTTTCATAATTCGATTATCGATTTTTCTAGCTTCAGCCAGTAGTAGTAGTCCAGTTAATCTCCAGCTTCCAGGAGCAAACAGAGTTTTTGTTTTAACTAGAACACCACCCAGGAGTTTCTGGGAGCTGAATCGTCCACCATAACAACGAGATCTCCAGAAAGAAAGTTCCATTTATTTCGCTGTTGCATTGTTGGAAGGAGGTTAATGTCCTGTGCAAAGTGTTGCCTTTGTTCAAATGCAAGTATGGCCATTTCAGCCTTGTCCATATCTTCCACAGTCCGATTTGTGTTGACGGTCACTTTAAGGTTTATGGCCCGTTCCTTCAGTGATTGATCTCCAAGAGCAATCTTTTCCATTTCAGGATCCAAGCTACAGCTTTTTTTCAGGCTGTTCCAATCTGAGTAGTGCTCAATTAGTTCGCTTGTGGGACTTTTCCCCTCAATACTCATCACATTTACAGTGACATTCCTTTTCACTACAGGATCATCTGGAGAAAGAGAGCTTTGTGATATTTTGTCTGGGTTCCTTGGCCACTGAGACTCCTCCTCTTGCAGGAATTCAGGTCCTTGTAAGAGTTCATTGTTGAGTGATGTTCCTTTGTATGAAGATGTACAATCAAATACTACTCTTAGTGTCTTTTTTCGCTTGTGATACACCCTGTGGTGGGGTATGTACCACACCTTGCTATCATTTTGATGAAGGTCCTTCGATGCCACCTTCTCCGCATAGCCTTTTGTGATTCCATCTTCCATGAAAACCTTGTACTCTTCAGCATAAGCAGCATCCTTCTTGAATTTCCTAGCGAGGTAATGTGCTCTTTGTTCAGCTATATGGTGATTATTGGGCATGATGACATCACTATTACGAAGTGGCAAAGGTAGATAATAATGATTATCCTTCAGTGTAGCTGCACTTGATACCAGCTGCCTGAATTTACTTTCTTCAGCTGACATTTGAAGTTTTCTCTCTCTGGGAAATCATGATGGTACTGATTTTCAATTGAGATGCGGTTTACTGATGCCGCTGGTCTTCCAAATTTGTCCACAGCTGTAGTTGAACTAAGCGGTCCATTGACGACCCATCCTAAGAGAGTTCTTACAGCATAAGGACCGTTACCTTGGATATTTATGATTTGCCAGGGCTCCATTGCCTTTGGGACATCTACTCCGATTAAGAGTTCCACATCCGCATCAATTTCTTGTTGTTGTATTTCCTTCAAGTAATGCCACCTGTTGAGATCCTTTTAAGAGAAAAGGTTCCTCTTTGTCACTGGTATCTTTCTTTGTGTGTATGTCTTCTGCAGCTCAATAAAGTTATTCCCATCCAAATCCCCCACTTGTAGTCCAGTTATTTCATAACTATCCACTGGTTTCTTTTGACCCATTGTTTGCAGGAGAACTGTAGTCTTCCGTCCTGTTGTATTCAGCCGCCGCATCAGATTTTCTGTGCAAAAGGTTGATGTGCTGCCAGGATCAAGAAAGGCATATGTTTGTATAGTTTTGCTGCCTTTGGAAACTTTTATTTGTACTGGTACTATTGACAGTTTGCAATCTTTTCCAGCCCCGATATCCTCTTCTTTATCCAAAATGACAGGAGCCCCACTGACTGATCGTTTTGGCCAATTAGTCATGTGGTCGTTTTCATTCTCTGTTGGTTTATCGATGTGTAGAATGCTAGGGTGCTTTCCTTGGCAGTGTAGGCATGTCATCCTCTTCCTACAAGTTCTGCTCATGTGTCCCCTGGTTAGACATCCAAAGCATATGCCTTTTTCCTTCAATAGTTGCATCTTTACATCACTTGGTTGCATTTTTAACATTTCACATTCATTCAGTGAGTGCTTGTCTTTCTTGCAAATGCAACAATTACCATCCCACCTATTTGTAACCAGGCTTTCAGGCTCTTGATAGCTTTTTGGACTTGCAGTGTTACAGTTCATCCTTTCTATTGCTATGGCAAAGCTACTAGTTTTACCTTGTTGGCTGATTTGCTGTTTGGAGTAGGATGTCATAGCTTTTGGGATGGCTCTCTGGGATGGCATAACATCATGAATATCACCAAAGAGGGGATCTTGCAGAATGCTGGCTTGCTTTTCTATAAACACAACAAGGTCAGAGAATGTGGCCCTTCTGTGGTTTCGTTCCAGAAGCTCGAATGCTGTATTTCTCCACTTTTCCTTCAGCTTGTATGGCAGTTTTGACACAATGAGCTTTAAAGTAGATACAAGATCCAGTTCTTCCATGCTTTTTAGTTCCATCATAGCATTGCAGCATCCTCTCAGGTAAAGGGCATAGGCATGTAATGCTTTTCCATCATCAGGCTTAATCATGCTCCAGTTGAGAGCTTTCTCCATGTAGGCATTTGCAATTTTCAATCCATCTCCAAAATGAACTTTCAGAAGTCTTCGTGCTTCAGCATAACCTCTCTCTGGTTTCATGTGAA